AGAATTCTGATTTGGAGATGTGATGAAGTTCAATGGTTAAACTTGAACAGATCTTATATGTATAAACCTCAATAATGATGTCCATAATATAAAAGATATCTGTCACAGATCTTAATGTAAGAGCTGCTATCTTCAAGTTTTGGTCCAATCTCAGACAATTCATGCCCTGATTGATGATAGGAATGTAGAGGAACAAAGGATCCAGTGAAACAGCAAACACACATGATGTTGCAAAAATCTGCTTCCACTTTGCAAACATCTTCTTCTTCCACTCAAGAATTTTCACCTTCATATTTGGCCATTTTTCTTTTGATATCTGCCATTCTTCGACGGAAGATTCTCCACTACTTGTAGTATCTGAATATGAGCATGATTTTAAATCTGAGTCTGAATCTGCTGAATCACTGGAAAATACACACGAAACATGAGTATAAAATTTCACCCTATCAGATAGAAAGAATCAAAGAAGAGTTACTATGTATTGACTTCAAAGTTAAAAGAAACCAAACCGTTCAGCTTTCTCTTCCGGCTTCTCCACAACCACAGTTACATCGGGGTTCGGCATAACTCTAACTTCTGTCGATACAATCTATATTAATAACAGAAATTATAGGTATGGGATAACCTAATAACAGAAATTGGGAGGCTTTCTATACAAGGTGAAGAGGGTTTTTGGACAAGGCTGAGAGTGGCAAAAATTGATCTGGCTAGCTATAACACTCAGTTGGTGGGTGGAAAAATTGTTGTAATAAAAAGAAATTTTTAATTGGAAAACAAAAATGTTTGAGTTGTGACTTGACTCACACCAAAAGAAAATAAATGAAGTTAGTCTATGTAGAGTTGTTCGTCTTGTTGTTCCCAAGTCGTTTTCAGATCAAATTTTAAAAAGCTAATTTTGTTCTATCAGATATTTTATTTTGAGAGGCCATCATTCAATATGAAAGCGTGTGGAATTAAAATTCATATCGGGTCAACATAGTGACTTGACATAAAGCTTGAATACAATGGAGGCTTAAATTATGTATAGAAAAAAGCTAAAAACAAATCATGCTTTCCACATTCGATGTACACATAGAAAACCTACTTAGATCTCTATCAAATAAATTTTTTTAATACAAAATTAGTGAAACACCCAATTCTAGACATTAAACTATAATAAAATCCTAAACTATTTAAAACATATAAACACACCCAAAATAAACCCAAAAACCAACAGCTGTCAATTTTTGGATTTATTTTCTATGTTAGATTACGGTTTTGACCTTTTGGTCTGAATTCTTTGAAACAGGCCCAAAATTCGCCAGCTAGGATAGGAATTTCTGAAAATTTACGTTTGGTGCCCCAAAAACAGAACCTTGTTTGGCAGCCTCAGCAGATGAAATATTCCAACCGAGCTTCGTTCAGTTCTTCGAACGAAGCGAGCTTCGTTCACCTCTTCGAACGAAGCTCAGTATGATGTGGTTTCAGATCTTCTTTTTGGATTCTTCTGAGCTCAGTATGGTGTAGATTGGAGTTCTATTGCTTCAATTTTTTTGTTCTTTGTTGTTTGATTTGGTAATTTTTGGATTGATATTGCGCTGCAAGAGACTCGATTGGAGCTTGGTGCGATCTGTGATCTTCGATTTTGAGGTATTTCGAATTTTTCTTGTGAATTCATATTCCTTTTTTGAGGATTCGATTATATTGTAGTCTGATTTTTGGTGATTTCATGTTCGATTAATTAAGTTGCTGATTAGGTTTTCGTTTCTTTTTGTTTATAATTTGGATTGATTTCAGATTCGTTTTGATTGTGGATTTGCTCTTGTGTTTTGATTTGAGGTGTGGTGAAACTTTTGTGATATTCGATTTGGTTTTCATATTAATTGAGGTTTTTTCAGTTGAATCTGAGTATATTCGTGTTTTTTCTATTTATGCACTATTGATTTTTGAGTCGACTATAATTTACTGTTAATACTCGGCATCCACTGTTATTGCTAGTAGTCATTTTTGTTTTGTTTGTTGTTTTTTTCTATAGATATGGATGATTCGAGAGTGGCAAAGTGCACCTATGGTGGTGGAACTTTAATGCTTATTTTGTCTTCAACTACTACTTTTGATTGGCTGTCTAACGAGTTGTGTAGTAGGTTCAAGCTGAAGTTAGGTCATTTTGAGTTGAGGTACTCTTATACGGATTGCTCCAATTGTTTATTGGAATTGGATGATGATTTGAAAATCATGTTTATGGTATGTGGACTGACGAATGATCAATTAATTCACATTGCTGTTAGGGATAAGGCTGTAGTGAATTATGTTCAAACTGTTAATACGAACATAATTGCTTCTCCTTTTTTGTTGGAGGCTATTCCTAACAATTACAGTGTTGCACAAGATGAGGATACATGTAAATATTCAATTCAAACTGGTAGTATTGTTGATTCAAGTGCAGCTTCTTCTTCTTGTTTGAGTATGGATTTTGATGGTATTAGCAATGAGTATGGAAATTAATATTTAGGCAAATATGGTAGTTGTGGAGGTCGTAAGTATTTGTCTACTGATTGGGAGGGTTATATTACTCATGAGGGTCAGAAGTTTGAGGGTGGAGTTTGTGAATTCCGTGATAAGTTAGCTAAGTACTCGATTGCGAATGGTTTTAAGATGAAATATTTGAAAAATGAGCCTCGTCGTGTTATTGCTGTGTGTGCTAAGAAGGAATCAAATGGCTGTAAGTGGCATGTGCATGCTGTTAAGTAGAATGTAAATGGATTTTTTTATATTAAGAACTTAAATAATGCACACAGTTGCAGTGGTTTGATCCGTGAGAAGAGAAATAAGGCAATGGGGTCTCGTTTGGTGTCTTCAATTGTCAAAGATAAGGTTCGCAGCAATCCTTTGGTAAGGCCTATTGAGCTGATTACTGATTTGAAGGAGAATTATGGATTGGATATCCCTTATCATGTTGCGTAGTATGGGAAGAAGTCAGCTACTAAAGATTTGCATGGTGATGAGGAGTTGTCTTATGCTCACCTGCATTGGTATGTGAATGTTTTGAAGGCCAGCAATGTCGGATCTCATTGTGTGCTTGACTGTGGCGAGGATGGTTCTCGTTTCCAGCGGATCTTTATATGTTTTAAGGCCTACATTGATAGTTTTCGGTGGTGTAGGCCTATGCTGTTCATTGATGGTACTTTCGTCACAAACAAGTACAAGGGTACTCTTCTAGGAGCTACTGCAAAGAATGGAAATAAAGGTATATAATGTAAATGCTGTAGTTGTTGACTTCCATTGAGTGGTATGAACAGTGTAGTTATGCAAATGTAAATGTTGTAGTTGTTGACTTCCATTGAGTGGTATGAACAGTTTCTATACTGTTCATACCCTGCATCTGAGTATTTTTATGCATTGTAGTTTTACTCTGCTTCATGTGGTAACACTGTTACAGTTCAAACTAACTAATATAGTTCTCTGTTTCTTGTAGAAGTATTCCCTTTTGCCTTTGCGATTGTATCCGGTGAAACTGTGGATAATTGGAGGTGGTTTCTGCAAAGGATATCTGAAGTCTTGGTTGATGAAGGTAGGCAACTTACATTCATTTCTGATAGGCATGGTGCTATTATCGATGCTGTTAGGACTGTTTTTCCTGCTTCTCCCCATGGTTTTTGTCTATATCATTTGAAAGAGAACTTGAAAAAGAAGTATCCGCATGCTGTTGGTTCCTCTTTCAAGGATCATATTTTATGGCTTTTTTGTAAGTTGTTGTATGCACCGACTGTTGAGGAATATCAAGATACGTTGAAAAAATTAAGAGATGATGGCGGTTCAAAAATAATTGATAAGTTTTTGGCTGATCTCCCTGTCCAAAATTTTGCTAATGCATTTTTTCCGGGAAAGAGGTATGGGGAGGTTAGTAATGCCTTGTCCGAGTCGTTTAATTCATGGGTTAAGGATGTGCGTAGGCTTCCAATTTATGAGATGATTGACACTGTTAGGATCAAAATGATGGAGATGATTTCTAGGAGGAAGCTTGCATCCGAGAAATG